GGAGGATATTTGAATATTTGATTTCGCATGCTTTCTTTAAAATGATATTGAATTTTATCGTTATATATTCGTTTTATATTTCATGGTGCAAATCCACGACAACTGCGGTAGTGTATATACATATATATATATAAATGTGATATCATGGTTGAGTTTGGTTGGTACAATGACCAGTACACTAGTATGTGCATTGACGACTGTATATTTCTCTCCTTCTCTGTCAAACGAGATGTGTCCATTTTCCGAGACTCCATATATCAATATTGCTATAAAATTATATATATATTATTTGTAGGTCCCTATCGAAGGGGTTGCAGCCAACACGATGACATGCGTGCGCTTCCCCAAGGGCATCTCAGGGCCAGACTTGTTACCCAAGGTGTATGCGCGAGGGGTGTCGTTGGCTGGTGGGCTGCACAAGGATATCAAGACGGAGTACTTCCGCATCGGACACATGGGGCCCAGCACCCGCCGGGCGGACCATGCGATTCAGACGGTGGCGGCCATCGAAGCTGCGTTGATTGAGTGTGGGTATGCAATCCCGGCGCCTGGTCAAGCAGTGCAGGGACTGAAAGCGGCGCTGAAGGGAAAGATTCCGCTCGAGGCTGGCGGCGTCTCCAAGGTAGTAGGAAACTGAGGTTTAGTTGATGGACAGGGTGTGATTCGTGTAGACCAAGGCCGACTGCGGCTGCTGCATCGTGCCCGTCAAGTGTCAATTTCTCACGCTTGGCATCGTGGCCCTGTCCTTTGGAGTGGGCTACCTCCTCTCCGGCCGTCGTCGCTAGAAAGCCGTCAATATGCATGAACAAACAGCTATATTGTAAATACATATGACCAATTGGGCTTGAACGATGACTACATAGCCAAGCTTTACATAACGTTAGTGCAACATATATGTCTGTGTTGATTTGTACGACTATTAATAATATTGTGAATTCGCTCTAAACTTTTGGAATTTGCGTAAGCAATCTTGAATCACGCTGGAAGTTCTGATTGGCTGAATATACTTGTCCTTTCTGTAAGAGCCAATCAAATCCACTCCAAATTCCAAACTCCCATCAAGTAGTTAGTATACATATATTGTTTGCAAGCGGAATAATCAAGTTCGAAGCGCCTTCTCGTTGCAATTGCCTTACTAGTATTGGTACTGCTGTATAATGACGCCTCAATGGCCCTTGTCATGTTGCGCTTTAACATTCATGTAAGGCGATTGATTGGTCAACTCCACTGTTAGTCGTGATCACATGATCGACAGATGGTAGAGGAACCATCTGTACATAGAATTCAATGTAAGGTGTTTATTTGCATATGTCTGACGTCTGTAATGCGCTTCGAAAGATCAAGGCACATACTGTAAGGTTCATCAATATGCATATAAATACTTCCTTAGACTGCTTACATAGTTTCGTAGCACCACGTGCCATTAAAACGAAACATTCAATTGACCTTGATGTTTGTATGACGTCATATTTATCCTTGGCAAGCCAGGTTTATGATTAATCTCTTCGCCGAAACCCATAATCACGGTGCGAGATAGAGATGATCCTAGGAATATAATACGAGGACTTTTCGAGTTTTATCATTACATTAAAGTATCCTAAATCTTTGTCACATTAAAATTCCACCGCCGTGGGAATAAAACGGATGATTATGTTTCAGTGGAATATCGTTGTTGTGCAGTTGGACCAAAGACACTGGCATGCATAGTCGTAGAGTTGACGAAACCCATCGTTGCTTGTCAAGGACGCCAGGCAGTCCTTCGCCGAGGAGCTAACAGCATCGTCATTGTCTTCTTCCATGCACAACACAGGGCGGAGTGTGCTCCCACCTCGGCCAACATCACCATCGTCATCGCCCTGGACTCGTTGCACCGACCAGATCGATGCCAAGCGAGCGCTGCAACGACGACAACCCCACGGCGCTCCCCCCACCGACACCGGCATTGACGACGTCGAAGTGCAATCACTAGTCCAGCAAGTGTCGGACCTGCAAACTCGGCTGAACGAACTCACAAACAACGCTACGACATTGACACCATGCAAGCGCAAGTGGAGCTGGTGCGACGTGGCCCTGTCCCAGCGCAAAGAGCTCGGCGACGGCCTGCACGAACAAAAGCGGCTCAAGTTGGCCGTGGACGAGCACAGGGACATCATTGCGTCGCTCCAGGAAGTGGTTCAATCGTCGCAACGTGTACGTAGAGAACTCGTTCCAGTACAGCATGTTCCAGTATCCATTCTTCCTCCATCTTTAGATCCCCATGGAAGACTGGCGATGCAATCGACTGCCGGAAGATCAAGCGGCGTGGACAGACGGCATCCTGAGCATGCTCACGCGGGACTACGAGCGGGTGGACACGATGCTCGTTCGAAATGGGCTAGTCGACTGCTCCACAAACGTGTGCAAGACGGTGGTGCGGCGCGGCCTCTGCGGCGCCGTCACGTCCATCGACAAGGTCACGCACCTGCAGCTACAGTGTCACACATTTGACGACGTGGTCAAGATCATGAACGCGCTCGTGCTGACCGAGCGCGGCCGCGAGTGCCTTGTCAAAGGCACCAAGTGGGACAGTTTGGAGCTGCTTGAACGCATGGAGCACAACTCCATGTACGTCAAGTGCAAAGCCAAGTGCCACGCAGGGACCATCCAATGGCTCGAGGGCCAAGTTGCCGTGAAGCGGTTCGTCGAGCTCAATCGCGTCGTGTACGTCGTCCGGTCCGTGCTCGAAGACGACCGCCATCCCATGAACCACCCAAATGAAACGTGCTACTCTCACGATGAAGTGGGGTGGTTTGTGATTGAGCGCCAGGCGTCCGCTCAATCGTCCGCCACGGCGGTGTGCTGCGTCAAGAGCATTGTCTCGTGCACGCCCAGTCCACCGAGGCAATGTGTCGTGGCCAAGGCCATCCATTCGGTGGCCTTATCGGCTGCGGATTGTGTGCAAAAGTGGTATCGGTCATGTGTGAATGTGTATCGCCAGCAGAACCGATCGGTCACGGAGCTGCTCGTGCATGCGTTGGCCCAGCGCTTCCGCCCGCTCAGTCACACCACGAGCCTACCGCCACCGCCAATATCATCATCATCATCGTCGCCAGGACCAGTTCCACAAGGAGCGACGTTAGTCGTCGCGTCAGATGGGACGGCGAAGGATGCAACCACCTTGTCGGCGGGAGACACTGCTTAACTGTGGTGTTGCAGGCTTGGCGGCGACAGCGGTTGTTAACTTATAAACACAATAATCATGGTAGGGTGTTGGGCACTGTGTGTTCAGTTATATAATATATACGCAATACATAGCGTGGGTAGTTGTTGGATCTAGAGAGGTTCGAGTGTCTAGAGGTATTCCATCTTGATGAAATCAATGTCGTGAATACCACCATGGCCGGTTGCCATGATGGTGGGGGGGTGCTGGAGCGGAGGCAGCGTTCGCGCGAATGAGGGCGTCAACATTGGCGGATTCATATCGATGATATGGCAAGCTGCATGATGTATCGGGGGCATGTCAGCCCAGTTGTCGTGGGGCTCGTCAAAGTTGTTGCAGTATGGTTCTGGTTTGGCCTACACACAAACAATCAACGTTGGATAGCTGAACGATATATATATATATATATAAATACATGTGGACAATGGAATTCAAGAAGTGTACCTGAAAGGGCGGGGGGACGCACCAGTATTCCGGCGGAAACAACTCGGATTGCAGCGTGTCGATGATGGCTGCCAACTGGTCCTTTTGCCGAAGAAGGGTCACACGTTCCCGCAGGGCTGCTTCCACCTCGACATGTTCCTTTGGTAGGTCGTTGCGCAAGAGTTCTTTAGTGCTTCGAAGTCTGTCGCGGTGACGCGTGAGCTCGGCCACTTGGCTGTGCAGCGCTTGGATCATTCGAAACGGGGTGGTGCGGATGCGTTTGGGAATTCGTTTCGGCTTGGTCGACTTGGTGGGTGGTGCGGAAGGGGGCGTGGGTTGTGGACGATGTCGTCGTTTCGGTTTGCACGGATGCACCAGCACGGCCAAAATGTCTTGAAACATGGTGTCGTCGTCATCATCATTGTGCATGTGGTGGCGGCGGCGGCAGCAGCCATCGATGGGCGAAAACATGTACGTTCGTTGTCGATGGATCAAATTCGAAAGTGGTGGCATCATGGTGACTCAGTGGCGATCGTCGAGCTTGTGGCCACGAGCGAACTAGCAAAAATCGAAGGGTCGGTCGTATGGCTGTCGTGCGATTTGATTCGCGGACGAAACGGCGTCGACCGTTTTGATTGGCCGATGCGTGTTGAAGTGATGGACGTGCCCTTTCCACACGCCAAACCCGATCGATGCCAGCGAATCCCTCCCATCTTTAGCATGTGAACTTCTCTCTAGCCATGCAACCAATCCTTTAGCGGACGCGAGCAATACGCTGAGGAACGAGTTGGCGAGTTGGTCATGCGATGTCATGTGCTAGTAGTGTCACGTGGCGAAGCAGCTGCTGCCGAGCCACCTGAGCAGGAATAAACACGCCAACTCTTTCGCAAGGTACTCGTGTTCTAGGCAAGGTGTAACGTTCTGCTTTGCCTCGTGGTTGACACTTGTCGACTTTGCTCACGTCGAATTCCAACAATTTCAGCCAAAGGTTTCAGTGGCGTGTGTGAAACTCAAGGCGGTGCCAGCCCAGAAAATTGTCATGAGCCATCGATGGCGACCGCAACTGTACGATGTAGCGCGTCGTACAGTTGCGGAGCGCATTCGCGACAGTGCTGACAAATTTTCAACGTCGTCGTCGACAGTGCACTGCTAATCTTGCCTAGTGTTCGTAGAACGGACCAAGGGCCATCAACTAACTCTAGAGAACACACTGCTATGGCGTGCTCTTTAATGATGGCGCTCCCACCACCACGTTGAGTTGTCCTTTGAATCTTGACGGCAACAAGGCAACAGCGGCCATGAACGACGTGGCGGTATGTTGTTGTTGTTCGTATTCAAGTCAGATCAAACTCTACGACGACTCTTGTGCTGACCCTGTTGTGTTATTCAGATGCGTCGCATCACTCTTGTTCGGGATTGTACATGACGTTTGCAACACAATCCAATTGTAGAAACGTGTGACTTTCGCAACCGTGGACACCTGCGACAGAACCTTCTTGTCGAAAGAGTTCGGACTACTGGTAATCCTGCGGTCTGGATCAGTACACACTGATTGACTGGCTACATAAGATGCCGACTACCTAGATCCACAAGCGTGCAAGAGTCTATGCTGCGATGAACAAGACGTCTAACATGGGCAAAGTTCAAGTTCTCACGCTAATACTTGATCCGTGACAACTGAGTGGCTCCGTTCGTAATCCACACTAATGAATAGTGTAACGTTAAGTCCAGATTGATGTAAGAATCTATACTGCACGTAATATATACTCCGGAGTACTTGGATCGGGTAATAATACATAACCCGACCTACAGTAACGTTATTGGTATATAACTCTTGTCGCAAAAACAACATGGAAGTGCGGTTGTGTTTGGTAAACTCATCATCAACTCCAACTCGAATACAATATGCATAACCAATCGATCTTGGGAGGATTGGAAGACCAAGACTGTGCTTTGAGAGAAGGATACAACGGCTGAACGGCTGCATGAGAAGGCTGTGCATATCTCAAGTATCATGAAGCCACGGTTGCTGTTGCCAAGTGCTACTGTACTGTACATGAGAGTGGAGGTACGAACTCTTGAGACTCAACTCTTGTTGCAGTACAGTATTTGAGCGACTCACCCTCGTTACTGGATGATTATGTCAATGATGTCGTGGATGAATAGAGTTCTAGGGTAAACCAGTTGACGCTGACGAGTAAGACCCATACTTAAGTTGGCAATAATGAAGTACATACCAACGCTACAACCATGTTGTTGCTCCCAAGGGCACTGCATTTCTATGGCTCTCAAAAGGTGTTTATTCTTGTTTTGAGTCGGATTTCTCAACGTTGAGACTTGCACGATTGGTTTACGAGTTCCATGTTGAATCATAAATGAATCGATCGAAATTGAAGACCACATCGTGGCCGATGTGCAAGTTACCAGCCAAATCGAATCTCGTAAACTACTAGTACACATATTACCCATGAAAATGGGAGCTCCCACAATGTGCACCATTCCTACCATGACAATTAAAAAGCCCCAGGAAGCAGAATCAGCGATTAGAATACGCATAAGCAATGGTCGAGGTCCGATATGATGTGGCCACAGAGCTTGCTCTGGCCAACTCGACGGCAACACCAGCCTCAATAATGGTAGTACTTCAGATTCAATTAACCATGAGCGGCAGCCAAATAGAAGATTGTTGACTCATTTCTAGGTTAGGACTACCCGGTAGATCAGGATAATTGAATGTAACGTGTTAGTGAATCCACAGGACCCCAACCTACATGGTTCAAGGCTGCTGATACTGCAATCGCATATTACATCTGAACGCTGCCATTGACATTTCGATGGTTTTTTGACACGTAAGTTTCATGTCCTCAGTCCAGGGTTAGGGTATCCATCTGAAATAATGTACGCAGTACTAGGGTTGGGTAAATACGTATAGGGCTAAGCAGAATAAGAGGAGTACATACAACAATCTTATATGAAATGCTGTGTGATAAGGCCAGGCCTCTGCTTGGCACACGTAATTTCTGGTTTGTGATAGCATATGCATAGGAACGTTTCGTTGGACATATTATCTTGTACTCCGAGTACTGTACTGCATAGAGTACGCTACACTACGCGTGACCGAATAGACGCACTCGGGTGCAACCGCGGGTCATCTCGCAACTTCTTGGTCGCTTTGATGAGTCTGTCTTGCTCTTGGACAGCGCGTAGACTCACTCTTGGTTTGAGCTTTGTGAAGCATACGGTGTCGATGTTCTGCCCGCTGGATAACTGTGCATTCCGCACATGCATAGTCATCGGACATCAATGGCAGCGCATCGCAAGTAAAACCAATGGCATGCCTCGCTACAGTAGGACTGGTATATCCATATTCATACAACTTTAGGTTGGCAGATTCCATGCGCAAGTTGTGACGCTAACCCTACCTACTGGACGGAAGCTATTCCTATTGCATAACATTATCAACGACTGGTGTCTGTTCCACCTATCGGCATGTTTGCGTTTACGGTGGGACTTAGTATATACCGTAAAGCTGATACACTATGCCGGTGTACGCTTGTCGCTTGCAAATCTCGAGCACCCCCCAAAGCACTTGGTGCTATGGTGGGGGAGCAGTGATTCGCATGGGTTGAATCGATTAGAGATCACTCTCAAACCCAATGTATTCAACGGAGCCTACTGCCGTCATGGGAAGATTGTCGTCGTTCCAGGGTTTGGAAATGGAGCAATGGCACACGACTACAGTATAAATGTGCAGATTTGACACACCCGACGACATCAATTGCACATGCCGAAATGCCTCAAAATAATTAGTCCCGTGAATGGTGATTATGGTATACACAACGTACGAGTAGACCTCGCATGGCTAATGAAACTGAGTCGGCGACCCTCGTCCGCCAAGTTTGCATTAACAGGATACAAATAGAGTAAATGGTAGCCTACTCGCGGTATTCCTTCACATGACACGAGGTAGTTCAAGTAAACAATGTTGTGTGTCACACACTTGTCGTGACTACGCGGAACGTACAATCGAGCGGTAATACTACTAGGTAGTACAGTAGTCAATTCAATCGACCAGCAAGGGGTTGTGCTCTGCCCGAGTCGATACCAATGGAAAGAAAATTCCAAGTGCAGTTTGCGACAGCAATGACACGTTAATGCAATACTTGAAGCGTGCATGAACTCAACATTTAACGTAGGGGGGTCCTTGAACCCAAACATTGCCGGTGTTATACGTGTTTCAATATGTAAGATGACTTAATAACTACTGACTTAACACATTACCCCTAAAGGTAGCTCAGACACGTCCGACGAAAGTCTCGATCGACTAGCTGGGACGAAGCAGGGGCCACCAGGTCACCCACATCACTCACCAACGTGTCGTTGACAGATGCAAGTCGAGCCGCAAACACGTTGCAGAAGTCAGATTGGAACTCCCCGTCGTGACAAAACGTCGAGTTTACTTCGGCACACGAAGTAACAAAACATGTGAAGTCGGATCTGACCTCTAAACACCTTCAAAGTTTATACCAGCTCACTTCCTTCCAATCAAAGCCAGATTGGTTTTGACGGATGTCTGAATCATGGATGGAGCGCAAGACACATACCGCGCGGTCCGTGGTTACTTGGTACAGTACAGTAGCGTCGTTGAATGTACCGAACGACTTGGTCGTGATGCAGCTCGACAACTATTGTGTCAGCGTCCACAGACTCCAAAAGCTACTCAAACGTCAAGTTGGGGTCTTACTAGATTCAATACGACTAACTTCAGATCGCACACGAGTAGCAGTGGTCAAGGGGAATGGCCCCAATGTTGTGGAGTTGAAATTAGCTAATGATTGCCTCAAAGCCTTGATGTCGTCGATTCAATCGGTCTCGAGTTTCCAACTAACGAGTGACAAGGGTATCACATCGTTGGGATAACTCCACCACATGATCTTGGAGTCGGTTATGTTAATTGAGGCCTTGTTCACGCGAATGCGTTTCGGCCCCTTCCGCTTTGCGTGTTGCTTTGACGCCTTCTTGTTCCCTTGCTTCTCCTTTGAGGACCCCCGCTTTATCACGGCGTCATGGACTAAGCCTTCGATCTCGCGAGCCGACATGGCGATTTCGGTGGGGATGGGGTTGTTCATGAAGGACGAA